GTATTAAGAGTTTTAGCAACACGCCCTCTCAAGAACACAATGGTAGTCCGATTCTATGTATTATGTTCTTGCATGCATCACAGGATTAGCAAATAAGTAGGTGGCCCTAATGTTATCGCAAAAGAGAGATGGAGAACTAAGGAGAAAAATACCAAGTTCCTTTAATAAATATTGAAGCCATATTAAACCCAAGTTGCTAAAGCCAAAGATAAATGCTTTGCTTCAATAAAAGATCAAGAAACAATTGGTTACTCATGGGCAAGACTATGAAATTGAATTTGTGCCAAAAAATACACAAAATCCTCTAGTGAAATGTCTATCATGAGGACAACTAGCCCAATTAACATTAGAAAAAGCATATAAAGTAGAAGAAGAAGGAGACTTTCAAATCAAAACTCCATAATTAGTAATAAATTTAAGACAACAAAATATCCTTTTAACAGCGACCGAATGTGTATCCCTTGGTGAGTGTAAAAATTGACAAGCTTGTTCTTAGCAAAAGAAATATCTAGCCTTGTAGAAGATAGATATTGAAGATTACCCACTATACTTCTTTTGTCTAGATGAGAATTTACTATGCAAAGCTGTTAATTCATTATGCGAAGGTGTTAATTTTGTTAGCTTAAAGTCACAATTCAGTGATAAAATAGTCAATTGTAAGATCTGTTTAATTGTCAATTTATCATGCAAACGTTGTTAGTTTATACCTGCTTCAAGTAAGATAGTTTAACTATGAAGTACTTCCTTCAATTTAAAATATAAATGGCATTATAAAAACTATTCTTGATCCAAAATATAAGTCACTTGGCAATTGGGTATAATTTATTTCTTGATTCTATCCTTGATTTTTTTTTAAATGTCTATTTAAATTTGAACTATCTTATAGGTAAAACATGAAAAACATAAATCTTTTAAGGTATAATCATTCCTCTTTTTTTTTTCAAAAGTGCCTTTATTGATAATGACTTTATATTTATTGTAAGGTGTTTAACAGGAATAAATATGAAAAGATATAGTTAGTTTAAAAGTATGTAATTACTTTATTGGAGGTAAGATTCAATTAAAAATGCATTATATTTTTGAACAGAGGAAGTATAATTTATTTCTTGATTATATCTTATTTTTTTTAAATGTCCATTGAAATTTCAACTATCTTATAAGTAAAAACATGAAAAACATAAATCTTTTTAGGAAATTAATGTTGTAGCCAACTCTTTTATAGAATCCATGGATTAGATGTAATGTAGTTAAACTGTAGACTTATTAATAAAGTATACATTAATAGCCAATTCATCATGCCACATTTTTAATGAGGCGCGCATTAGAGTAAAAGGCTTTTTATTGTTTGGTAACTAAAAAAAAAAAAGGCTTTTTATTGAATTTTTTATTTTTCAAAATTTTTAAGCTAGGTTTAAAACTTAAAAGGTTAAATTATCATAGGAAGGATATTTCTAATGCTATGTTTGGATACACATAAATTTAAATTTAGATTTAAATTTAAGCCAAATCTATTATTTGAAGATTTAAATTAAAAATATATAGATTTGGCCAAGTTATCCCTTATTTTTTTTTATAATTTGAAATCATTTCTAAACCTTTATTATTTCAAATCCTAAGATCTTTTATAATTTGACCCAAATGCATAAAGGCTTGATCGACTTGCTAACGGTAATTGGACCAAATCACCAAAGTTGATGGAAATAAGCTACCACTGTTGCTCGAGACAGGACGACTAACTTCCACAAGGACCAGACCAACAACGGCGACGAGGATGGGACAACCAACTTCTATTGGGACCGGACCGAAGGCAATGACGGGAACAAGACGGTTGACTTCCACAGGATAGGATTGACAACGACTGTGGGGACTTGATGGCCGACTTCCATCAGCACTGGACTGATGACAAAGATGGGTACCGGATGACCGACTTCCATAGGAATTGGAATGACAATGATAACTAAGATCGAACAACCAACTTCCACCAAGCTCGAATCGACAGCAACAATTAGGATGGGACGATCGCCTTTTATCAGGACAGGACATACTGTGACGACTGGGATGGAACGACAGCCTTCCACCAGGATAAGACATACGGCAATGATGGGGATGAGACGGCCGCCTTCCATCGAGATCAGACTGACGGTGACCATTGAGATTGGATAGTCGACTTTCACTAGGACCAAATCGATGGCGATGACGAGAAACCAGATGACTGACTTCCATCAGAACCAGACCGATGACCATGACGAGTACCAAATGATCAACTTCCACAGGGATCGGACTAAGCTCGATGATAGGGATGACACGGCCAAATTTCACCAAGAAAGAACTGACATTGACAAGGACAGGATGGTCGACTTTCACCCAGACCAGACCGACAGTGACGACGGGACTGCTCCACTGGAAAGGATTGACAAGGACAATGGGGACTAAACTGCCAAATTCCATAGGGATTAGATCGATGGGGATTGAACGGCCAAATTCCACCAAGATTGACAGTAATGACAGGCACGAATGGTTGATTTCTACCAAGATCGGACCGACGACAATGATTGAGGCCAGATAGCCAACTTCCACCGGGAGTGGATTGACGACCATGACAAGGAACCGACAGCTGACTTCCACTGAGACTAGATCGACGACAATGACAGGCACCAAAAGGCTGACTTTGACTAGGACCAGACCGACAATAATAGCTGGGACCGGACGGCCAACTTTCATCGGGTCTAAACTAACAACCATCAGAGGGACCCAACGGTTGACTTTCACCAAGACCAGACTGGTGATGACGATGGGGACCCGATAGATGACTTTCACGTAGACTGGATTGATGACTACAATTAGCACAGGATGACTGACTTCTATCAGGACTGAATCGACAACAACTATAGGCATCAGAAGGATAACTTTCACTGGGACCAAAACGATGATGATAGCTGATAATCGGGATTGGACAACTAACTTTCATCGAGACTAGACTGATACTGATGACTAGGACAACACAGCCGACTTCTATTGAGATCGAACTAATGGCGACGACATGACGGCCAACTTCCAGCAGCTCCGAACCGGACCAACGGCTACCGGAGTGAAAGTATAGCAATGAAAGGTGATCATCTGATCCTAACCCAGAGGGAGTTAGACTTTTGATCCTCATCATCGCTATAGGTTTAGTCCCAAGGGAAATCAATCGTCTGTTTCCTATCATCGTCGCCATCATCAGTTTGGTGCTAGTGGAATTCGGCAGTTCGATTCTATCCTCGCTGTCGGTTCGGCCCAATAGAAGTCTTGCATCCCAACCCCGTCGTAGTTATTGGTCCGGTCCTAGTAGAAGTCAACAATTCTGTCCCCGTCATCCCCTTTAGTTTAGTCATGGTGGAATTTGGCAATCCAGTCCTCATCATCGTTGTCAGTCCTTTCCTAGTGGAGCTGTCCTATCATGTCGGTTTGGTCCTGGTGGAAATCAGCCATCCCGTCCCCATTATCGGTGTTAGTTCTTTCTTGGTGAAAGTTAGCCATCTCGCCCTATCATTGGCGTCGGTCCAATCCATGTGGAAGTCGATCGTCGATCCTATCTCAATGGAAGTCAGTGGTCTCATCCTTGTCGTCACTGTTGGTCCTTTCCTGGTTGAGCTGTCCCGTCACCATCAGTCCATTCTGGTGAAAGTAGGCCGTGCCGTCTTGGTCGTCACTGGTCCCACAGTCCCAATTGACTTCGTTTGATCTCATTGTAAGTTGACCATTCAAATCGTCAAGTTTCACTAATCTTTCAAGTTTCTTTTAAATTTAAATAAGAACTAATAAAGTATCCGTGTGATGCACGAGCCATATATAATAGCTTTGATTTTAAATAAGTGACATATCTATCACTTATGATGAATTTTTACAATAAAGTCTTCAAATTTTAACATTAGATATTAGATTATATTATCTTGAAATCTTTAAATCATAATATTAGATTAGATTATATTTTTATTATTATATTATTTTGTGATATTGAAATATTTATAGCTCATTCTTATATTAGATTGTGATCTAGCATGATTATATTTGTGTCATTTTTATTATCTTCATATCCAATACCTTTTAAATTTTTTATTTATTTATTTTCTTGTTATAAAATATCCTCTTGTTTTCATTCTTATTATTTTCTCTTTTTTGTATTATTTTTATATGGATGATCCTTTATTTATTTATTAGGACTCGGATAAAATATGATGTTCATAATTAGCATAAGGATACATATAGTTCATTTTTTATTTTAAATATAATGATTGATATTATTAGTTTATAGCTTAAATTATAATATTTTGAAAATTTCAAATACTTATGGAAGGTATGATTAATTTTGGAAATTATTTTTTAAAATGCAACTTTGATAATTTTTTACATATTTAATTAGCTTATTTTTTTTTGCAAATTTAACTTATTTAATCATCACCCAATACTTACTAATTAAATAAAATTATCAATTAAAAATAATTAAATTAATTTGTACTATTATTTTATCGGTAAATATGAAGAACATTATTTAATAATTAAATTTGAATTAAAGTTGTCAATCATATATAATGACCAGGTATTAAAATTTTCAATAATATATTCATTTACATATTTGATTTTTATCTCATTTAGATTAATATGTTCAAAAGTACCGACTCAAAAATAAATTCTATTTAAATTCAAATGCATATTTTAACATAATTCAAGGATAATTACTTGTTGATTCAATAACATACTAATTTTATACAATAATTTTTGCAAATCCATATCAAGCGTGATGATCAATATATCTATAATAGTAGTTGCCCTTAGTTACAATAACTTCTTTGTCTTATTCTTAATTTGTCTTCTTCTCAAATACTTGCCAGCTGTACAGCATTATTGGCTTCCTTTTATAATTATTATTTATATTTTCAATTGGACCTTGTATTGAAATAAGATGTGTAATCATAGTCTATTGAGCCCATTTGGTTTATGTTTTTTTATTTTACTTTTCGGTCCGTCTCTATCGCACGAAAATGTAACCCCCTTTTCTATGATTCCCTTAAAGCATCCCCTGCAATCTTCCTTTTTGGTGATTTCTCCTGCTTAGAGCAGGCCTAAAGGATGGTAGTCGATGATACGATTTCATTTCTATCTTCACTCTTCTCAAAACCACAAACCTATTTGGCTACACTTATCATTTTAGTCCCATCATCGATGCTCTGCATTTGGTTTCATGATCTAGAGTTCTTCTCCTCTTAGAACTCCGGATCACAAATGGTGTTCCTTGAGCGGCGGCGATTTTCACAGCTTCTTCTTCACTAGAGTCTGATGTGAATGGCCTTCCTCCGGTGCTTCTATCTGACAAATTACAAGGGCACGTGCATTCTTTTTACATCGTCACCCATCTCTCTAATCTTGCTCTCTCGCTTCTATGAGTTCTTTTCCCTCTTTCTTCTTCATCAGTTTCTTTTTTTCATCACCGTCTTTCCCATCTCCAATGCCTTCACTCATGAACTTCATGCATCGATAGCGAGACTCAGAGGCTCCGACTAACAACGCCTTTTGGGAAAAAAACTGAAGGTTTTAACATTCCGAGCTCCTCCTTAGGTTAGGGTTCCTTTCTATTTATCTAATTTTTTGGTCTATTATGGTTTGCTCGTATTTAGAGTGGTTTAGAATGTAGCTTCATTTTCGTTTCTTTCTTTTGGTGTAAAGGAGATGCAGTGAAGGAATCCTGGGGAATTTTTTGCAGGCGATGTGAGTTTTAAGTGAAATAGATATTTTGAATTATTACTCGGATTTGTAGCTTTTGTTTTCCTCACCCTTGTAAAATATATGAAAGTGTTGTTCCTTATTTATGAAGTCTTATATAAAAGTTTCCTTGATTTATGTATGTTTACAACTTTGGCTTATTCTTTTCTTTGGTTATCATCCATCTACTCTCATATGCTCCTTTTTTCTTAATGTAGAGTAAAGTAGGGTAGGATTCATTTTAATAGCACTCGAAAACTGCAGTGTTGAAGAGAAGGCATCTATTTTTGAAGAAATCCTTCCATATTCATCAAAATTAGTGATGGGTGTGTTTGGCAATTATGTAATTTAGAAGGTATATTGTCACAATCTTTGTTCCCTAAATTATTGCAAATTTTTGGTCTTACATTTGTTTTATGCACTTTGTGTACATTCTTTACATTATTTTGCTAATTTAGTTATGTTGAATGCAGTATTTTGAGCATTAAAGCCTTGATTAGTGAAAAAACCTTGCAGATCAGCTTTCTGCACAGATTTTACCATTAAGTTTGCCCTGTTACCCTTTTATGTGCCTGATGAGTTATGAGTATAATTTGAATAATAGCTTTCTTTAACAATTTCCAGTTTTTGTCCAGGAATTGCCATGTTCATGTTACATTACTTAATGAACTACTACACTCTTGATATAATTTTTTTTTCCTAGATGCAAACATTTTGACAAAATCGTAAGATGCTCTAGATACAAAGAGATTTAATCTTACATTTCTTTTTCTCATGGTACATAGGATGTGAGAAAGAGAATCAGTAAGACATGTGCATGCATGATCATATGGCAATTAAATTTTAGATAAAACTGCTCACATAATATAGTTCTTAAAGATGACATTATTTTATTATATGATGGGGGCTTGCATTATACGTGCCCATTTTGTCTTCAGGTATAAATCAATTCAGAAGAGAATAACATAGGAAGTTTGACTGGAGATATAAAGAATTTTAAATGATACATTTCCATTCAAAAATTGGCGTGAAAAGTACTTCATTTAAAAACAAAAAAAAAACTCACTTTTTTCTTTCTCTATAATTTCTGTTATTTTCCTCTTATGTGCAAGAGTTTTGGCAACCTCCAGTTTCTACTATCATGAAATTGAATTTGCGTTGCTTTATTACAAAATTTCTTGGCTTTTAAAATGATCTATCTGTGACATAAGACTATTAAATTTGTCTATACATTTAACACAAAAGGGATGCTGTGTTTGTGCTATAGCTATTCAGAATAGGGTGGGATTTTGGTTTTTATAGGAAGTAGCTTTGCAATGATTCTAGCTTTGATGAATGTTTATGGTCACATAACATCTCCCAAACCAAGTCCTCATACTCAAACTTAATTTTTTTTCAGAAATATAAAACACACTTGGATAAAGTTGCCTTAATCTTTGTGTACCAAGCTAGAAAAGGCAAGTATGCACCTTAGTATCTCCCCAATCAAAATAAATATTTTATTCAAAGTTACCATTAGCTTCTGTACACTACAATTTATTTTCCCTATGCATTAGCATGAGACTTGCCAACTTTTACTTAGAGTATTAATGCAACTAGCTTTCTCTTCCATCAACTGATACCAATGCCATTTTGGTGATATATCGTTTCATCTTTTTTGACAGTGGGTTTTTTAATCTCCTGTAAAGTATTACTGCTATTATCTTAATTTGCTTGCCATCTTTTGCTTCATGTAAGAAAGATGACTTCTTTTATGTTCATTTTATTGGTTTATGTGATAATACCAATTTGTAGTGTGTAGGTGAGTAAGCATTGGTTGATGTAACATAAAAATAGAAATACCAATTTGTAGTGTGTAGGTGAATATTTTATTAGTTTTTTTTAATATTCGACGGTCATGGTGTTTGAATAGTCCTCTGTTCCCGTTGTTTCTATATGATGTTGGCATTAGCAAAGATTCGGTTGGTTTGTTTGCTATCCTAAGTGCAATAATCTCCTTCTAGAGCTCACTGATTACTCGGTTTATCAATGTGGTAGTTGTGGCGCCATTCGAGGTACCCTTTCTTCATTTTCTTCTTCTTCTTATGTATGTTCTGTGTTCTTTGGCTTCAAAAATTTTGTAGAGTAGTTTTAATTTAAAGAAAAATTTGCCTTTTTATTTCTAGCTTCACGACTAACAAAAATACTTCATCCCCAAAATGTGGATTTTTTGTATATTCAGTGAATAGAAATAAATCGGTTGCTTCTTTAGTTCTATTTCCACTGTATGTTTTATTGTTTTAGGCTTCACAAATTTTGCCCGGCCTTTTTTATTCTAGGTTCATGATTAGGACAATATGCCATTATTGACTTTTTTAATATCCGATTAATAGGAGATAAATCAACAAAATATTGAAACGTAAGGATGAAGTGAAGCTAGGATAGATTTGTAATGTAAGAACTAAAAAACACGATAAGCATTTTATTTTGTCTTTGCTTAGTTGTGTCATCTGCCTTTTTGATTGGGAAATAAAGTTATTTATTATGCATATTCATATAGCAGAAAGGCATGACTTGGTTTGTCCTTTCAAATCTTAATATCTCTTTGATTCTTATGTCTGATTTCTCATTTCTTAGGGACACCATCTGAGAAGAATGGGTTGTAATAATAGATGTCTTATCATGACTAATACTCATTGTAAATGTTAAAATCCTGTGTATTCCTTTCCTTTGAAAAAGATATTTTTCTGTCTAGCATGTAAAGGCGTATTTAATTTCTCTCCCTCAATGCTGTCAATCTCTTGACTTAGACTTGAGATGTTGCAGGTTTTGTTGCAGGAGAGTAAAAAGGGGTAAAGAGGAAGAGAAAAAGTTGGAAGAAGAAAAGGATGGGTCGTGGCAGTGGCAGGGAGAGATCTTAGATCATGGCTTAGCATGGGCTTGCCTATCAGCATTGTTTTGATTAGGCAAGGAAAAAGCCCATGCTGAGTTATTTGGTTGCTCGGAACATATCACCATTGTCGTTTAGTTTTTTAGTTGGTGTAGGGTCATTCAGAGTTACTATCATTGCTCTAAGTTTAGCAGGCCAGATACTGAATTGTGGATTGGCATTATCCAGGATCAAGATTTCATGAATTTGGCAATACAAAAAATAACCTCTACTAATAGAAGAAACACAATAAAGTGATGAAGACAGCAGTAAGCTTTTGTATAAAGTTTTTCTTTAACACTAATAAAGTTGTCTAATTCATTTTTTAGTTTATTTTTGATTTACATGTATCAAAGGTCTTTGCTCAGGTGCAAAGTTATCAATTACTTCTTCATATAATAAAATTGCCATTTTCTTTTGGTGCAACACCAATGATCTCTGCTTCTTATAATACAAGACTTGGGGTTCTGTTCTAATTTATATAGAGGTGCAACTATTTAGGAGGTCTATGCTTGGACTTGCAATGAGGCATTAACCTCCATAGAAGCTGTTGACAAGTTTTTGGTGTTTATATGAGGGTTTAGATGGTTAATGGCCTTTTTGTTTTTTTGTTTCCTTTGTGGATTGTAATGCTAGGCTTTCTTGATGGTAAATTTTGTTTGGTGTATACATATTGAGAAATATTGTAGTAAGTTTACAGTTATGCTAATAATTGTTCTTTTTGCGAGAAATGTAAACTTACTTTCCCTTTTGCGTCTTTGAATACTTGATTTCCCTGGGAACACTTAATGCTGTTGCAAGACACAATTTGTTTTATAGTTTCTTATTCTAATGTACATTGAGATGCTAAAAATTGTAATGAGTTTACACATTTATATTAATATCTGTTCAAATAATTTTTTTTACAATGTTCAAGTAATCTCAATCTGATTTATATTGTTAGTAGATGTAAAAATTTATTTTTCATAATTATTGAGAATAACTCATTTTAAATTTGGCTTAATTTTAATATTGAATTCAATTCAATTCATTATTAACTCTTGAAAACAACTAGCATTACAAAATCTTAATTATCATATTGGGAAGAAGAAAACAAGCACTCATATTGGGAAGAAGAAAACAAGCACATGATCTTACTTTCAATATTCTAAAGGACTTTCAGAATATAAAGAGTTCTAATTTTTGTTCAGTAACATTAAAGAATATTAGTATCAAGTATTAGTTAAGTATATTTTAACTCAATAGCCAAAAAAAAAAAAGGTAGGGGGAGTAGCCTGAGCAATATATATATATATATATATATACATATACATACTTCACAAGTGTTACCTGCATCCACCAATAATGTTATGCCATGTCTCCTACAAGTTTGTTTTTAGGCAATTAATTTTGGTTTTATTATCTTTTAAATTTTATTTTATATAACTTAAAATAAATTTTTTCATAATTTAATATGTTGTTAATTATAATCTTCCTTTACATCGCACGGGATGGTAAAAGCTAGTTATATTAATGTGATTTTTTATCTCAATTAGATTAATCATGTATTTACAAATAAAATATAAATTTTTATATATTTTTTAATTAAATTTAATTTTTTATTCAAATCCAAATTGAATTTTGAATTATGCTATGTGCTCCAAAAATCAAACAAAATTTTAATAAATTAGATGTTTTCTTTAAAATTAGAAAATTAAATATAAGAAGTCATGCGCTCTTTAAAAATACTCTTTAAATTTATATATTTAAAAATTAAGAATATTATCCTACAAGGAATCAACAACCATCTATGACGCCAAAATCATATAAATTTTAGTGAGGACACTTCGAGGCATAGAATCATAGAAAATTTTTTTAAGATGTGATTTTAAATGCCTAATATGTGATGTTATATATTTATAATTAATTAAACATGATTTAGGATCAATGGTTTTTAAATTTTTTATACTTTGAATTTAAATAGAAAATAAAATAACGTGATAAAAGAACATTAATATCAGGATGAAGTTATTTAATTTCAAACTACTCACTCATGCTTGAGATTTGCTCAAAATTAAGTAAGTGATAATAAATATTTAAAGCTTATAAATCAAATTTTTTACAATATTAATTTATAAAATTTTTCATAAAAATGAAATTACATAATTTATTTAATTTTTTACATGTATTTCTTTCACATAACCATTAAATATTTATACAAATATGTTAATTTTCATATAGTTTTAATATCAATTTGTATAACTGCACATGATTATATGCATAACCCTTCTTTGACAAAAAAATAAAAATTGACATCCGCCAACTTCAAGTCCTAATTCCATCACTGATTTCAAATATTTATGTATGATTTGGATTTCATTAACCAACAATCTCGCAAAATTAAAAATGAAAAATATCTAGAGTATTATACCTCCAATAATAGAGGCTAACATATATACATCTAGGTCAGTTCACATCCAGTTAGGTTTTTAAGAACAATCTCACCAAATACAATAATAATAATAATTGGGTTTCCAATCAACTATGTTCCTATGCATCTTATATATTATGAAACAAAACATGATATGACAACTCAGTGTTTAATATTTTTTTTCCCTCTCTTCAATAAAAGCACTCTTGCGTGTTACATATTTCAACATGAATTATGGAAAGAAATTTAGATTCTAAAAAGTTGACAAAATTTTTCACAATCGCTACATAATTAAAAAATATAATATATCAATTAATCAATATTGTTTTAATACTAATATTAAATCTAAACTGAAATTCTAACTAAGTCATGTATCAAAAGAATATCGATTTTTAATATTTTCTAGGGAAGTTCAAATTTTGAAGTCATTCTTTTTCAGGTATTAATTTGTATATATTAATTTGAATTCAACTGAGTAAATATATACAATTTATCATATAATCCAAATTTTTGAAAATTATGAGTATATATCTTAATATCTAACTCAGTTTTAAATGTTTAGATAAATACTTGCCTTGAATTCAAATAAATTTAAATATACTTGATCATATAATCTAAATTTTTGAAAGTCATGATTATATATCTTAATATCAAAACTCAGGTTATTTTTCGAAATGTTGAGATAGATACTTGCCTTGAATTCAAATAGATTTATATATATTTGATCATATAATTCAAATTTTTGAAAGTCATGAGTATATATCTTAGTATCTAAACTTAGGTTATTTTTTTCAAATGTTGAAATAGATACTTGCCTTGAATTCAAATAGATTTATATATACTTATTATATCAAGCTAAAATTTAGGAAAACAATAGTTTAGATTGAAATGCACAAAAATAATTAAGGTATATCAGAAGTTTTAAATATAGATGAATTTTTCAAAATTTTTAATTAGAAAGATAAATATTAATTTGAACTCAATTAATTAGATATAAATCTAAACATTGATTTCAATATCATTCCTTTACTTACTCTATTGCCAGAAGGATTTCCCCTATACATTTGTAAAAGGCTCTTAAATAAATATAAAATATAAAAAGTCCCTATGTATATAATAATAAAGAAGATGTATAGATCTCAAACATAAAAATGGCATTGAATACACCTTAAGAATAATTTAATAATATCAAATCATACTATTAGAGTTGTCTTTCCAATTGCACGTACTATTGGTAACCACCATATCAATATAATAGCAGCGTGAGCAAAAATCAATATTCAACACATTTTTTCATTAAAAAAGGAATGAATTATTGATAAATAATGCATAACACCGAAAGACCTTCAATTTTAAAATCATTATATATTTTAAAGGGATGTAACTTTTAGTAACATTTTCTTATAGATAGGATAAGTATTATATATTGAACATAATTGAGGAGATTTGAAAAATAAAAGACATAAACACTTACTCCAGCATTTTGAAAGACCAATTCAATACCATTAGATTCTTCGAATGTATTTCTAACTAGCAATCTCCCGATATGAATCACCCCAAACACAATACGCCAATATTTTTATGTTGTATTGATAGCACGAATAGCATAGATCTCAAAAGTAAAAGTCATGGATAGTATGAATTATAATTGAGAGGAGAATGAATTTAATGCAATTAATTAGAGGAGTGAGTCAAACGTAAAGTTGTGAAATGTACTATTATTCTAATATAATAATTTATAATTGAATAAGGTTGATTTGCAAGGAAAAATTAAGAGGTAATTTTTTTAAAAAATCAAGATGATAGATATTAAAAATTATTTTATTTAATGTAAATATTTAAGGAATTTAATTTTTACCAAACTTAATATATGAATTTATTATAATCAGATCCAAATTATTAATATATGCTTTTAACATATCGAACAACTGGTTGCAGAATCCAAAATATATAAATATGGGAAAAATTAATATATGAATTCAACATAATGAGACCTAAACAATTAAATAATTAATATATATACCTTATCATATTTATAATTTTTGAAATTCATGAGGATATATTTAAATAGTTAAATATAGAAAAATATATATTAATTAAAATTTTAATCCTAATATATATGTATACTCGGACTTATGAGCATTACTTTTCGCTATAATAATTGGGAATATATATATCATATTTTATATATTAATTTTTATTATATTTATAATTTTTAAAATTCATAAAGATAAATTTAAATAGTAAAGCACATATTCTTTTTTAAAATATTTAAATATATATATATATATATATATATCAATTTAAATTTGAATCCCAATATATATATATATATGCATATAAATACCTCCAAAAATTATGAACCCAAAATTTTGTCATATATTTAGGTTAGATAGAGTGTTTAAATATATAGATATTAATTTAAATATACATATAATCAGATTTGAATTTCAAATAGGTAAAAGTATATTTTTAAACACATATTCTTTTTTCTAAATATTTATATATTAATCTAAATTTTAATCCTAATATATATATATATATATATGTAGTATATATATACCCAGCATTATGAGCGTTTATCTTAGCTATAATAATTGAAAATATATTATGTCAAATTTTATATATTAATAAAAATCATATTTATAACTTTTGAAATTCATGAGGATAGATTAAATAGTAAAACAAATATATATATTTTAATTTAAATAGATGTATATTAATTTAAATTTGAAAACCAATATATATATATACATGCAAATAAATATTCTAAAAATTATGAACCTAAAATTTTGCCATATATTTAGGATGGTTAGGGTGATTATATATATAGATATTAATTTAAATTTAAACATAATCAGATTTAAATTTTAACTAAGTAAAAATATATTTTTATATACATCTAAAAATTAATAATTTATTTTGTACCTAACTCTAAACCTGAATAATATATTTTATATTTTTTTAAAAAAAATAAAACATCTTTAACATAATTTCAAACCTAACTCTAAAGCATAGAATCACACGAAAGGTATCATGAAGTACATAATTGTTGCAAACCTAAAATTAAACATGTGGCATTTTCTTATAACTTTAAACCCTACTTTTATATATATAATGATTTAAGATTTAAAAATTTACTTTAAATTTAAATAAAAAATTTTAATATTATAATTGAAATTTTTTTATATTATTCAAATAAAAAATTTATAATTTATAAATTTTAAATGTAAAATTTTAAATATGAGATTTTAAATTTAAATTTACTAATATAAAGTATTTTTTTAAAGGGATAGAATTATTTTATTATTGTTATTATTATTATTATTATTATTATTATTTTGCCGAGCTAGAGGAATTGAATTAGGTTAAATTATCTGGGTGATTTACACGTCAACACCCCGCCCCCGCCCCCGCCCCCGCCCCCGCCCCCACCCACGTCCGTTCATGATTTCACGCACGCGAATCTCTTCCTTCCTCTCAACCGTCTTCCCTTGCTGCAAACGCTGCTCCTTCTTCGTTGTTGCTCCAGTCACCGATCAACTTTTCTGTTATTTGCTGAGGGAATTTTCATGCGATTTTTGGACGATTTTTTCCGGTGAATTTCCGGCGGATTTGTTGGTATATTTTATTATGTGATTGAGTAGTTTGTTAGTGGGGATTTTGTTTGATTTTGATGGGAATATTGTTTTATTCTTCTCAATCCTCAGTTTGTGATATTTAGTCAAAGAAAAATTTAATTATGTTTGACGTCTCCCTCTTTTTCCTTCTATACATTCCCTGGACACATTCTCTTTTTTTCCACCTTGGTTGATGGGGCCAGCGACTTATCATTGCTCCACAGGAACCACTTATGAAGTCACAATGGATCAGGAAATTATTGCTTTTCAAGCTTGCAAGTGCCGTGGCTTTAATATGATCTGTGCTTGTATCAGTGTATGATTCTGATGCAATGTTACTTAATATCAATAATTAATTGGTGTCTCTTTACTGACTTTTGTGACTTCAGTGTTTATATGGGCCTGAGTTCTGATACATAAAAGGAAAACAGTGGAAGAGAAGAAGCATCCCCGGGTTTATACGGATTTTTCTATCCATAATAAACGTGTTCTAAAGTTGATTTTTGAGGTACCCATTTTCCTTTTAATACTTTTGAATTACAATGATTGTGGTGATACATGATAAAGCTTTTGCATTTTGCAACTTTCAACTTTGAGGAGAGTCGAAATGCAACCTAATGGATTCTTTCGTTCTTCCACCAGTTATTCGATGAGATTTTCCCCTACGCTGCAGAGAATTTTCGTGCGCTATGTACGGTTTATAATTTGGTGGTTTTATTTCCCTAGTAAAGCCCTCCCGTACTACAATTAGAGTCCTGACTAGTTGAACAAGCCTTGGGCATGCTAATTCAGTTAGATTTTATGGTTCATGATACAAGTTCCTCATTTCTCATTTAGTTTTTTCATTTGTTCAGGAGAGAAGGGAATCAGTAGCAAATTAAAAGTGCCACTGCACTACAAGGGTACTTCCTTCTATCACATTGTGAAAGGTGGCTCCTTTGTGAAGGTATGTTATTTATTTATTATTATTATTTTTTAACTCTTGTCACACCTAGGATCATCTTCTGTATTGTTGTTCTACCCTTGATGTTGTGGTTGAAGTCGAACATGGCTTAGGAGTTGTCCCTTCTTTAGTCAGTTATCCTTGTTTATGTCGTAGGATATCTGCTTTTCTTGTGGTGTAGTTTTAAGCTGGTACTTACTAACCTGTCCATCTTAGAATGCTAATAAGCTTCATAATTTTCAAACCCATTATGTATGCATTATGGTATCTTGAGTATATATTGATGGCTGGTTTTCCTTTTGCAGGGGGGCACTTTATGGGATTCATTCGGTATGTTTTCTATTGATGCATTGACATTAGGATGACACACTTCTTGCTATAGTTTTTCAAGCTTGTATCTTGATACAGTACATGTAGTGACTTTCAATTTTTTGAAGTTGCCTGTCTCATGTTTTTGGTCATATTATCTTGACTCATCACATGAAGCAGTTAATATTACTTTACTAATTATTGTTACCCCTCAAATAAAAGTAGATTCTTGTTTTTTTCCCCCCTGATGCATCACATGGGATTTGAATCAGTCGTCATGTTCACTGCTTATGTATAATGTGTCTTGTTTATATTTTATCTTAGATATTGATATATCGATGATCAGTAAATTTGGTATCCTCTTGTCCTTGAATCCTTTGGGCTGCTAAACAATAGGATTGGATTGAGACAACAATTGAGGATTTTAACTGAATCATTTTTTCAAATTAAAAATGTCACTTAGGATTTATTTCTAAATGAGTGGTTAAATAGTGCATCTGTTTGGAAATCCTAAGTTCAACCAATTGCTATCGTTGATATTTATGTGTATCAGTTTATATGTAAGTCTTCAAATGATATAAAATACTGTTTTCCTTGTTTAATACGTCATTTTTATTCAATTTGTCTTTCTCTTCTTTACTTTAGTTTTTTTCACTGTCAATAGCTTAATTCATTAGAGTAACCCCAGATTATGTTTGGAAGTTGAATATGAACTCTGGAGCTAGTTTGCCATCATTTTTAGATTGGGTTCTATCACAATGTTAATTGAGAGTATGAGTTTCATCCAGTCTAATGATCAGTTTTGTATAATTTCGCAAACTTTTTAAATCATTTTTTATCCTCCCTCAATGTAGTGTCTACTCTCACACCTTTGCATCTCATTTTTTATGGTTTAGCAGAGCTTGGAGATAGCATATATGGTTCTCAGTTCCCAAGTGAGAATTCTAGATCCTGCAGTCATTAGTTTGAGCTCTTACCATATAGAATGCAATGATTCAAATATATATATATATATATATATTGTCTTATAGACATAACCCAAAATGACTTCGACTGTTTATTTTGATGAGCTGAGTTTTTACATTGTTCTTGTGATTTAAATTAAAATTTTAGGTTAGATAAGGAGGCGAAGATGATCTTAATTGAAGCAACTGGGGAATTGGAATAACCTGGAATTAAGATCATCTTCCAATTTGGAAAAGTAGGGAAGGATTTATTCGCAATGGATTAACAGTACCCCATCTCAGCATTTCAGGCTTTTTTAATTTGCCTCAGCAGCTTTGAAACCAAAGCCGCCCGTGAATGATGCATGTTTCAACAATTAGTGCTGTCATGCACAAAACATTCTTGAATCTTTGACATTTGATATGTATCTGATGTCTTGCATATCTTTATTTTGTTATAGAAATAGGAAACATGAAGAAATGTCATACTTGTAATTAGTCTTACTTTATTTGGTCACTATTAAATTGGAAACTTATGAACTATTAAAAGGTGTGAAAATGGTGTTTCATAATTGTATTTTCTGCGTAAATGCCAATGAAATCTTATTTTGTGTTTTTGTTTTGTTTTTGTTTCTTCTCCTCTCATTATTTACTTAAATCATGGCTTGCACTATATCTTGGCATTTGTTCCTTAATAGTTGTGATAATTATTTTTATCTAGTTTAGATAAGCATTTTTGTACAAGCAGTTTTTTACCATTTTACCTTATATTAATAAGTGGTTGTTCTTCTGATTGTGAATCTTCTTATATTCTTCTCATTTGATTCTTTTTTTCCTCTAGGTTTTCAAATCTTATGGCTTTTGGAGGTGGAAGAGATATGATAGAAGTTCCAATTAATTTAATTGTTGATAAAAATGACTGGATTGTTAAGAGTTTAAATATTTGTCATGGTACATTAGGAGAAGAAAATATTAGCATAAAATTTTTGGAAAATGATGGGGATGAAGAACATATTGAAAATTTGAAAATGTGTCAAAATCATATTAACATCATCTCTTATTATACCCATGTGCTTCATAATGGTTCCAAGTATTTAATAATGAAACCATTTAAATACACGTTGGGTGATTTTCTTAAAGAATATGACGATCATGGGGAGAAAAGGGGAGAGTTTTGGGAAGATGGTAGTAATTACCCTACCCTTCGATTGTTATATTTAATGAGGTATATGAAATTTTTTTTAATTATTTTTAGTTTTCATTTTATGTATTTATTTATATTAAATTATTGATTTTCATTTTTCCTTTTGATGGCCCAGAGATATTGTTCATGGGGATTTCTACATGGGTAAATTGAAAATAATTCATGAAACTTTGACGCCAAATCACATCATGATAATACCATCAAGTCAATCAAACACGAATAGGAGTTTCATAGCAAAAATATGTGACATGAAGACATCAAGGATGGCAAGAATGAGCTCAAAAAGGAGAAAAATATTCGTAAGCACCTCAATAATATTTTATTTTTTTATTTAGCATTTAATTATAAAAATAATTTAATAGTTTTTATGAATGATTTAAATAATTGCAGCCCATGATGATGATTGGCCTTCACCTGAACAATTAAATCAGATAACCCAAACATTAATGATGGATGTGTTCAACCTCGGCTGTATTTTATTTTATTGCCTCACTCGAGAGCATCCATTTGAGAATCAGCGGATATATATCTGCCGAGGTAATATAAGGCATATGCAGCTTCTGCCTGACTTTCCAGTGTTGAAGAATTTACTTCTTGCGATGCTAAAACCTGCTCTTAAGGATAGGTACGTAATTTTTAATTTGTTAGTTAATTTATAAATTTAGCAAATGAATTTGTTAGTTTTGTTTAGAGGTTACATTGAAAAAGAAATTATTTTCATAATTTTCAGGATCAAACCTATGGACGTGGTCTTCCATCCTTTGTTTTGGAGTCCCCACAGAAAGCTTGCTTTTCTGATTCATGCGAGCGATTATATACAAGCTAAGAGACAAATGATGACAAAGTTCTTCATAAACATGAGAACAACAAAAATAATCAACGGAAATTGGCTCGCAAAGATACAAAATAATGAAATGCATAAGGCAGTCATAGGATTGGATGGCAAATATGCTTACGATAGTGTCCTTGAGTTGGTCAGAGCGATTAGAAATCTAGCTATCCACGAGGCAAACTGGAAACCATCATTTAAGGTATAATTTATAAATTCTTTAGAGTTAATTAATAATATATATTAATGTATATCCATATTTAATATTCTTGACTTTATTGATTTTTCAGGCAGCTTTCTCGTACCCAGTAGGATTTGAGGGATATTTCAAGACAGTCTTTCCAGATTTATTTCTTGATGTTTATAAATCGATTCAAAAAAACTGCTTATGCGAGACACGGTTTAACTCTTATTTCAGAGAGCATTTTGAAGCTGACAAATTTCTTTGAGAAGAAAATGGTTAAAATAGCCTGTTGAGCTTGTGGCTTTCTAGTTGGAGCATGTTGCTTTTGTATGGTAAGTCATTAGTTCGATTCTGCATGCACCAATTTGAAAATGGTTAAAACAGTATTTCCTTTGATTTTGACATGCTGTATATATGATTGATTACCGCAATGATATGATGTCTGAAAGGTTTGAAGGAAGAAAGTTTAGGGAAATATTATACTTTCATGCCTTGTTTTCAATCATGGAAAATTATTATCGAATTTGTCTGTCTTCTAAGTTTAATCCTGGTTAAAGCTCTATTCTTGATGTCATTTTTTTTCTTCTGTTTGTTTGTATCCCCCTTCTTTCCTCACTCTAATTATTATTTTAAATTTTAAATTATTTTGCTACTTTGAAGATGCTGTATTTATTTTCAATCTCTTGTGCCAACTAAGGATGTCTATTGAACATACATTACTGATTGGTATTTGAATCAATTAGATGAATAGAAAGTTGGCTAGTTCTAGTTTTTGTGGTTGCAATCATTATTTTGCATTGGCAACTCGATCATATAAATAGTTTGGTTGCTGTACTGATGTCAACTTCAAATTACTTTGATTTTAGGGTTATGCATTGATTGAATATCAGCTTGTTGAGGAAGCAGGAAATACAATAGAGTATTTGAATGGATCTGAACTTATTCAAATCATCTATGTTGACAGGGCTTTCAGCAATGGACCTATTAATGGTGCAATGAGAAGAAAGAATGCTAGGCATCCATGCTGGACTTTTAACTGTTGATTAATATTTGACAGATCATTTAGCCCTTTGATATTACAATGGTGTTAATAGTTTAATACTGGTTACTCAAACCATTTATGTTGCCGTGGTGTGGTGTGCAGTGCAGTGCTTGGATGATTTTTTACACCTTAATGAGCAAAGTTGGTTTATTTGGTCAAATCGTGACTGATTTTTTCCTGATGCTTGTTCTGCTTTGAAGTTCATATATATTGGTTGTTTGGGATTTGTGCTCCAACAGCTCATCTCAATCTATGATGTATAGATAGAGTGTAACATACTAGGATTAAAATTCAGTGATGTGTTGTGGTTATTATTGTATGCAATGATGTTACCTTGAGGAATTTATTGGTGTTCCGCTTAGCTTTCATGGAGGTGCAGTGTTTGCTGGGATTTCATTTAGTTGGCTCAAATTGTACAAGATTGTAAACATAGGAGCTAGTTGGGAGCTAGTTGGCTCAAATTGTAGATTACAAGTTTAAAAGGTAGTTGGGGGCATCAAGAGTACTTATCTCTAATAGGAGGATTCATATGCAGTGGCCAAAAAAAAAAAAGACAAAAAAGCTAGTTGGGTTAAAATATTTGAATATTCTTTTGAATTTAAAAAAAATTCAAAGAATATTCAAATATAAGTCACATTGTATTGAAAAATTTTTATTTCAGTTTTAGTTTACAAATTATAGTTGGCATAAATTTTAGTTTTGCAAATGTCAATCCAAGTTGAATGGTTACATACCATGTTCATTCAAGCAAGAGGTACAAGCATCTCATGATCAGCCTAGGAAGGCATGCCTATTTCAACTGCCGTCATCTAATGTTACCGCGAAAGCTGTCGTATTACTTCCCATCTGAGAGTTTCTTATATTCTTAATTGATCTTCATAACCACAAGAGGAATTCATGAACAAGCCCAAGTCAATGGGCCAATTCTACTATTGCCCGAAATGATAAGGCCCAATCGGTTGTTTCCGATTACAATGGCTGGGGATGCATAACTCGATAAAGGAAAAGAGGGGGTGATGAACGAAGTGGACCATGAACTAGAAAGCTATCACTTTATAGCAAATCTCAGCATGGTTTGGAGATAAAATAACAAATTAAACATGTTATTTTCTTATATTGATAACAGGCAAACATGTTTAGAAGTACATGAATTTAGATTTTCTCACATATATTCTATGTTGTTTGACAGAATAGATTTAACTTGTTTAAATTGATTAATTAGACGGGTAAAACTGGCTGAAAATTAATTATTGTTCAGCTAACAAATTGGAGAAAAAAAAAGAGTAAAATGGGAGGAACGTTTGAATTTTATTACTAAAAATAAGATACATTTAAGAATTAATTTTATTTAAGCCTGATAGTACTTTAAATTCGAATTAACCTGAGTAAGGAAATATGAAAATAATTTTATTAATAAAAAAAAACTTTGGTATGGAATAAATTATATCACCCAGCAAAGAGCTTGTTTGGTGCAAAAAAAAAAAAACACACACACACACACACACACACTTTTGCCCAAAATCAGAATTTGGCTCAAGATCACGTTTTCGGAGAAGCCGCTTGATGCTTACTCCTACATTTACGTTCAACTTAGAGATTTTAGTTGGAAGTATCACATGCCACGTTTACCCTCAGCTCAAAATTCTATCTATGTTCACTTTGTATCTTGGAAAGGAAGGCTTATGTCACAAACTTCAAGACTTACCATTTTGAAATCAGTTCTCTCGGCAGCAAATGTGTATCAACTTCCTTATACAAAACTGCTGAAGAAGTATTCAATGGGAACAAAAAAAAGAATGCATCTAGTTAACAGGAATATCTTTTTCACCACTGTTAATGAAGGTGGACTACGTCTTGGACCCATTCAACAGGTAAATGAATCTCTTTTAGCAAAACAAGTCTGGAGACTGATAAATGCTGAGGAAGGTTCACTCTTGGCAAGCACCCTCAAGATTAAATACATTGATATCTCAAAAACTGAAATTGTGAAGAAGCCTTATAATGCCTCTTGGTACTGGAAAGGAATTTAGGAGTGTTCTGACATCAGTACCTCCAATCTTAAATGATGTGTTGTGAATGGTAATAATATTCCTATCTCAAACCACCTTAGGTGGACTAAGTCATGGAACAGAGACCAAACTGCTTATATTTCTCGTCTCTGATCTCATCACAACAACAAACACTCCATGTCAACCAATTGAATGGAATGGAAATGATTAGCTCCCAATTTCTTAAAATTCCACCGTCCTTCAGAGGATCTGATGACAAAGTCATCTGGAATAGTGCAATATACGATGTGTACATTGCAAAAAAGGGGTATTATTTACTGCTTGGTCAGCTAGTTTCAAGAGGTAATCACAGACAAAATTTATGAAAATTTTGTCGGCAGACCAAAATTCCATTCAGATATATTTTATTGGGGTGGAAAATCATCAATGATTGCCTGCCCATCGGAGAGACTCTAAATCATCATCACCCGCATGTCAATGCCCTATGTCAATTTGGGTGTGATCAACCTGAATTCCTAACTCAGTTATTCTTCACTAGTTCGTTTACAAGAAGCATTTGGTTTGGAGAGCTAGGAATCAGTTCATCAGACTTTCCATCATCTTCTAGAAGACAAGAACGGATGATAGATTTCCTTTCTACTCTACTCAATGATGGGGAATCCAAATGGGCTAACAATATCATCACCGTGTTGAAATCTAATATGGTGGAAAGGAAATCAAGTGGTTCATCAAAAAGGAAAATTTACAACAGATCAGATCATCAAGGAATTTTTTTGGATGACTCGATACCTGGAAGTCATTTACTCACCTTCAATTTGCTCCTCGCGTAATCCGAGAATAGCAAACCGGGCTCAAGCTTGGAATCCTTCACTCCAAAATTTTCAGCTTGGTTGGAGCATCTGGATCAAAAAAAATGAGAGGTGGAGAAGAAAGGGGATGAATGAATGGATAGTAATTTGCAGCCTAAACAGGAACATCAATCGCATAATTCAGAACTTCCATACCAGAAAATCAAAACACACTCCTCAAGTCTTGATCTGCATCGGACATGCAATTTTCTGGATATCAAAATTTGCAGAATCCTGTGGCTATCCCAAGCTCCCTCTCGAAGTCATGTGTTTTAAAAAACAACCCCAAGCCAGCTTCGTTTCTGCGACAGCGGGATTAGTTTCATGCAAGCTCAAAGGTACACCGTGCTTCAAGATATCATGTCTTCTAAAGAAGAATTCACTTTCCTAACTTTTTCTTGCAATGATTTATTTCCGTTTAGCATTGAAGGAATTTTGGAGGCAATTTGACCACGGTACTAAAAAAAATTATTCACCACAATATTATACTTTTAATAATATTTCTCTAAATACGATAAATTTAAAACTTGATTTGAATCATACCGAATTGTAAATTTCTTTTTTAACATTTAAGAATAGAACTCAGTTTTTACCAAATCGAGTTTTATATTTATAATTTCTTTAAAAAAAATTGATGTGAAAGGCATCTTGTTTGGTAGGTCTGCCACTAACTACCCCATTCCCGATGTACTATCGCACTTCATTATTCCCTTTCCTTTCATCGTCCGTCGCCCCTCTCCTTTTTTGTCGGTGCGTGATGCCTTGGGGTGTATTTTTTAACTAATCTACCTTTATACGTTTATATATAAAATAACTATTATATTAATTTTATAATTATAATTATTTTAAGTTGGTCTAAGCTATTTAATTTCTAATGCTAAAAGGATCTAAAATTAGATGCAAGATTTCTGCTCTAAAATTTAAATGAGAAAACACAATTAATGCAACTAAAATTACCTAGACGGATGCTGATACTTATGTCTAACACCTAAATTTTATTATGCATTGTGTGAGTTCTAAATTATGGTTGGAGGATTTTGCGTCAAAAAAATAAAATATAAACTAAAGAAATTAATTAAGTGATAAAAAGAATTAATTAATCAAAAATAAAAAAAGTTTAATTCAAATATAATAAATGGAACAATTTAATACTTCACATGGAGTTAATTTTTTTACTCTAATTCAATTATTTAGGCCAAAGGAAAATGATGTTCAGTGATGAGAAGATGATTGTGTGCATGGGGAGAAGTATATGGATTGGTGTTGTCAATGAGGACTAAAGAATTGTGACAATGATGAGGTTTTCAATGGTGAGAAGGTGAAGATGTTGGCGTTGCTCGACGAAGGGAGAGGAAACAGAGAGCCAACTCAAAATGGGAGGAGGGGAAGGGGACTAAGGTGAGTGAATGGAACGAGAAAAATTAATCTAATGATTATAAAAGAGAGTGGAGTGACACATCCTGAAATATAAGAGTGATCAACATGAGATACGCACTTAAACACACATTCTTTAAACTTAATTAAAGAAATGTTTCATTTTAAAAATATTTTTCATTTATGTAAAGTCTTAATATTTTTTAAAAATTCCAACAAAATCTCCCTTGAAAATAGAATTTCCTTAAAATTTTATCGTATAATTTTTTTTAAAAAAATATTATAATATCTAGGAGCTAAACTCCTTCCAGCCAATAAACAAAATATTTACAAAAAAAAAAAAAGATCCTTATCATAACCTATGTGAAACACCTATAACATTATTTATAAAAGTATAATAGATAGATTAAAATTTTACATAAAAAAATAGAGATTAACTAAAATGGCATCACAACTTCAATTCAGTAGCACATCCCTTGAATGATCTAAGGGAGGTACAAGCTATCTGATATCAAAAATATTTTTTAGTGAATAACGTCCAAACCATAACATTTTACAAATTCAAAATGAATAAACTACAACATATACATAAATTAAAAAGAAAACAGTTTAATGTAAACAAATTTATAAGTTTGAAATAAAAGTTCTATATAACTTTAATATCAAGAAACTTTAAATCTATAATGACAAAGCAACATTTAACATTTGATCTTGATAAATTAAAATGATTAAATAATAGATAAGAATAATAGTATTTACTAATTGAAAAAAACATTAAATATGAAATCACCAATTAATTAAAAATTCATATTTTTAAGGATTTATCAAAATAATTCAAAAATGTGGACACATAATCCAGGAGAGTAAATGATCAAATGCAACTTATGCCATAAAGATAAATATAAACACATAATCCACGAGAGTAAATAACCAAACGCAATCGAAACCATGAAACAAACATGAACACATAGTTTATAAAGGTAATATTAATCAAATGTGGCTCAAGTCACAAAATAAATGCTAATATGAGGCCGTAAAATAACGGATGTAAAAATAAAGCTTATAAAAATTAAATTAACTAATTAGTTACCATGGCGCACCGAAAAACTAGCGAGACTGCTGTTAGCAATGAACGGAGAAGGAAGAGATGAGAGAGGGTTTTCAATTCCTAACTTCCTGCGCGTCCAGCGAGTTCGATCAATTTAGAAAAAGAAATGAGAGAGAAAATATCTGATTAAAGGGGAGGGCAAAATAGTAATTTCAGAAACAAAATAAAATTCTACTTTCAAGTCATCAGGATTCGATCACACGACCTACTAGGAATAAGTGAACTTTAATTCGTATATATTTATACCATTAAAACACCTTACCATAAATCAATACAAATATAATTGAAACACATTATTAAATATTTTAATTTTACTTAAAATTTTTAGGTTATTATGTGGAAAGTTTATGAATTTCAATCACTGAATTCAAAAGGAGCTAATGAAAAAATTTATAAGAAGAAAAGTATAAAAGTTATATAATTTTCTTTGGCTAAAAATATCCATTATATCCTTGAAAAACATTAAGAATTCTTTCCTTGTCTTAGTTCTTTATAGAGTCGGGAAAACGGATTGAGCTCATGGGCTAGCCCATTTAACTTGCATAATTTGACGAGTTGGGTTAAAAAAATTAGTTTATTTTTTAAAATGAATTGAGTTAGCTCAACCCGCAAAATTAGGGGGCTAAAACGGGCTGGCATATTTTAAAAAAATATTTTTATTTTTTAATTACATTATATCTTTTTTATAAATCTACAATAATGATAATATTTTTTAAATATATAATTTATGACTCTCAAATATGTTCTTTACATTTAAAATATAGTGTAAATCTTTTCTACACTTTGTAAATAAAATTTTTATTATAGTTTATGAAAATATTTATTAGTTTTTATAGAATATTTTGAATATATATTATTTATTAATCTCATAAGATCTCTTGATTAGAATTATAAATATGAATTTATTGAGAAAAATAATATGAATTTATATTTAAATTTTCTTTCTCAATGACAAAGATAACACACCTAAATGAAAAAATAATTGATAGTAAAAATCTAGCAAAATAAATTTGCTTGGTTGAATTCTATGTTTATTTTATTTATTTACAAGTTTTTTAATGGCTAATTTGCTTTAAAATATAAAATAAATAAATATATATTTATATTATATAAATTTTAAATTATTAAAAAATTGATATTTTTTTGCTGGCCAACCCTGGCTAGCCCGCTAGAAAATGAGTTGAGTTAGATTTTCCAACTCGTTTTATCTGGTGAGCTGGCCTAACCCCACCAGCAAAAATATTAGCTCATGCAGGCTAGCTCGCGGGTTGACCCATAATCCATTTGCCTAGTACTACTTCTTCATAGCCCTTGGATGTTCTTTTGGGTGTGTTTGTTTCAAGGGGAGGAGAGGGATTTTAATAAAGGAGAGGAGAAGGGTTTAATATTACTTTGTTTGGTTCGGGAGAGGAGAAAAGAAAAAATAATTATATATGAATAATTTTACCTTCATTTTATTAGTGTTGAGATATTGGAGAAGTGCATCTACATTTTTTGAAGTTATCACGGAGGGTATTGGTCAAGGTATAAAAAATTTTACCCCTCCCCTCCCAATCGCCCCAATTTGGAGGGGGGCCCTCCCCTCTAATTTTTCAAACCAAACAAAAGGAGGGGGCAAAATCCCTTCCCTCCCATCCTCGAACTAAACATTCATTTTGTCAAGATTTAAATTATACCATTGAGTTTCATTAATTTTGTCTTCATGGCCTAAAAAAAATTAAATACACCCATTGGTATATGCTATGTCTAAAATAAATCTCATGCCTCAAAAAAATATTTCAAAATTAATTTTTCCAACAATTAAAATTTCGTCACAAAAAATGGCCAAAAACCCAAGCAATGTATATTAATTCAAATTAAGTTTAATTAAAGATTTTCAAGGTTAAACCATATTAAAAATAAAAAATTTAAGTATAAACAATTCAAATACAAAATTCTCAATATTAATCCAAAAATATATTATTTTTTAAAATTGGCTAAAAATTTAAATAATATCTAACAAATCAAAATTAGCCCAAAATATATGAAAAGGGTGAGATAAAATATATAAAAATTATGATTTGACAGGGGCCAAGTGTGTGATTTGGCTCAAATGCGCGCTATTCTTATGCTGAATGATTTTTTTTTTTTATTAAGCTAAGCCTATATGACTTATACTTTAGGATATTAGACTTGTGATGAATGGGAAGAATTAGAGGCCGAATGCATGTGTTGGGCCAATTTCCGTTCTTATCTGACATTGAAAGTTTGACTAATATGTTGTTGTCTAGACTGTGTTTTGTTGGCGTAGCTCCTCAATCAGGTGTAACTAGATGGCACTTGATTCAGGCCCCAGAGATGACTAATTAAAGGCATTTGATTTGGGCTTCTAGATGCCAGAAGTTGGATTAAATTTTTAAAGAAGACTATACTTTCCTAACTTTTTCTTGCTCTGATTTGTTTCCGTTGAGTATTGAAGGAATTTTTGAACTTCAGTCTTAATAAAGTTCCTTTATTCCGTCTTTGTCCTTTTTTTTATTTGTAATTTTTAAATTTTTTACCTTGATATTATATCCTTTTTTCCAAATAAATAAATAAATTAAATTAAAAGCCAAATGAGTACTAAATGTAGTATTGGTGACTTGGTCAGGGTAATTAGAAAATTTAGCTGCCCACGAGGCAAACTGGAAACTTCATTTAAGGTACAATTTATAAATTTTTTGAAGTTAATTAATAATAAATATAATCTCCATACGCAGAGGGATAATGAGCATCCTGGACCTTGAAGTCTTACGCTAAAAGCACTATGGATCTTAAACTCTTAAAATAAGCAAAATGAACCTTAAAGTTTTAAATTAATAGCAAATTACTCCCCACCGTTAACTCTTTCTTAATGCTATTATTATTTATCATTATTGTTTATTGAGGGGCCCAGTCACATGTTGATGCAGCAATCCCTTAATGCAACTAACGATAAATAAATAAATGGGATCCCAAGTTACTGATATTTTTTTTCAAATGGGATTCTAATTTTTCATCATTAAATAAATAAATATTATTCAAAATAATATTAAATCAGAATTATAGAGTATGTAGAAGCATGATATACTAATCATTTGAAAAATTTTGCAAAAAAGGGCCAAAAAAAAGGTCATTTCATAAAATTATGGATCGTTCACCGCAGACCATGCTAAGGCTAATTTGGCATTCATAATAGTAAATATTTTATACATAAACAGTAGGGGTAATTTGTTTGAAATTTTGAAGTTCAGGGTCTAAGATGATACTCATGCAATAGTTTGGGGTCTGTGGTACTTATTAATAAATGACACATTAGCAAGGGACTACCACGTCAGCATATTGGGCCTCATGGTAAATAGTAACGGTATTAAGAAAAGTTAATAATGGGGGTAATTTGTTATAAATTTAAAAGTTTAGGATCCATTTTATACATTTTAAAAGTTCAGAGTCCAAGGCGCTTTTCATATAATACTTTAGGGTTTAAAATGCTCATTAACCCTATATATATAAATACTCAATGTCTTCTATCTCTCTAACTTGATACTAAGGGTCCAGCTTGTAACATCCTGGGAAATTAACCTGGATTAGTTTAAATTAAATGAGGTTAAGTTGTGAATTAGTGTGGTGTGTGGCTAAAAAGATCTAATGAACATTTTTTATTGTGATTTTTAACCTTAGATTCAGGTCCGAAGTGAAATTGGGTCACTCGAACATTAAAAAGTAAGAAAATTAAAGAAGGTTCTGTGCCACATGTCGTGGCGTATACCACCTCCAACATGGCGCATAAGTAGTATATCAAAAAGGGTTGGCCTCTTTATGTCATGTGATACGGTGCATGAGCCGTGGCGGATGGTCAAAGTTTAGCTTAAGTGGACCTATGTTAGTTCGCAAAATTAGAAGGAAGAAAAGGAAAAAACAAAGAGCACGCACCAAGCTCTATTAAGGCTTGAGATTATAGACCATTTAGGACATTTTGGAGCTTCCAAACATTAAGAGTAAGTTTCTTGTGTTAATTTTTTTCTCCCTTCTCTATTTTCTCAAAGGTTCGAGTTAGGGTTTGTGAATGTGAGTAAATTTTCGATCCATAATGGCTATGGGTCCAAACTTATTGACCTAAATAAAGTTAATAAGAGTTATTTAGATTATATAAACTTAGTATTAATGGTTTCATAAGAATTTGGTTGGTGGGAGCATTAATTATCCAAAAATGTGCATTAAATAAGGTTGGTAGAGGTGTGTGAATCCATTAATAGTGGTTTAATGGTTCATTAATGATAATGTAAGAGTTAAAAGTACGTTAATGAACCCAATGGGTATGCTTGGAAGTGTGAGGTTGTAATTTTGGGGGTTTGAAAGTGTTGAGACCAGGTATTGTGAAATTCAATTATGGAAGTAGTAATGATTTTAGGTGTATCGGCACCATTCAAACTTAAGAAGCTTTGGAATTATTTATTTTGAGGGATAAATTTTTAACCTTTTAAAGATTTGAGGTAACTAGAAAAAATTTGATTTATGTATTTTTTTGTTAAGTAATTATATGTTGAAGTAAATGATGTGAAAACTAGATGATATTTGTAAACTTACATTTGATGCAAAAATCTGGCAATGTGATTGAGAGTATGATGTGTTAAAATAATGAAAATGATTTATGGATATATGCATCCTTACATGATTGTTATTATTGAGTAAAAGCACGTACATATAAAAATGAGCAACATTGGAGTTAAATGCAAATTGAAATATGTGTGGGTTGTGAAGGAAGTGAAATGTAATGAGCATGATATGATTAGGTTGATGATGATGAAATTGTATGCTACATGTTGATATTATGTGCATGGCATGACCATTTATGATGGGAGTTTGCCTATATGAAGAGAAGCAAATGTTGTATATCCACGTGGTATTGACAGTTTACTGTTAGAATTGAAAGCTAGCCAAGCTGCCAACCATTGAAATTAAAAGGTAGTCATTATCTCATTGTTATAGAAGGACAATCTCACTTATTCTTCGATCTCATTGTTATAGAAGGACAATCTCACTTATTCTTCGAGAGATTCAAACCTAATTAATCTCCACCAATGTATGAGGAGGCAACCTTAAAGATATGGTGTAAGATTTGCTCTTACTAATGCATAATTAATCATCATTTTCAACGTAGTTAAGGGGATAACCCTAATAAAGCTTACCAAGTTTTCACAACATTATAAGTAGAAGAAACAATTTTAAGCAATTGCAATAGGATCCCAAGAATTTCAACATTCAAAATACTCTCGTTCACTCTTGAAAATCTCAAGTCAGAGTTTTCTATAGATACAGAAGCCTGAGATTCATTTAAGAATCAAAATCATTGATTGAACACTCAAAGCTATGAATTATGTGAAAATTAACATGAACACCACGATTAATTGCTAGTGCACCACGACTCGTGAGATTTTATGTCATGTGCCATGATGCATTGCACGATTTATGACAACAAAATGCAATTGTCAATGATAGCACAAGAAGCAAACTTCCGACGTGTCCCTCCATTTTAACTTAAATTAATCTCCATCATTCATTTAAATTAATTTTACATAATTTAATATTATCAAATTTATTAATATAAAATATAAAATTTTAATAAATCTATTCAATACCAATTTAACCAATGTAGATTTAATCAAACAATCAAATTTAATATTAAAAAATTTCATAATTTTACATTTTAATTATTCAAATAGACTCCAAACAATTCAAATATAATCAAAATGCCTAATTTAATATTAAAAAATTCATAAATTTTATAAATTAACCATTTAGATGCATTCTAAATAGTACAAATTTAATATTAACTTTTGTATATTTTTATATTAATAAATATGATATTAAAAATATTTAAAAATTAATTTAAATGAATGACAGAAATCAATTTGAACTGAAATAGAAGGCGGAAATAGCTCCTAGCCTTATGAGCACGCTCATCACAAATTATCCTTGCCAATGATAACATTTGAACAAACAGAACGCTAGAAAGAAAGTGATGTTATCAGATAGAGGGAGAAGTGGATGCAGGTCAGGGTACACAATGCCGGGGATTCAACACTTCCACTTATAACAGAGGGAAACAATTACATTAGTGATCCATCACGTCAATAAACCCTACTCCAAACAATCAAAAGGTTGCAATCTTGCAATGGTATTCTGAGCAGCTGTGATTTCTACTTCTATGTATTGATGTGCTCCTTCAAGCATCACCTTCCAACTGTAAATTAACAATCAATTATTAGTAATATTATACTTTTCTTGCCCACCTCAAATTAAAAAATTGTAAGAAAATAGAGAATATTGCCGTGTTGGTCTCAGCGTATTTTTGGATTCTCATCAAATATCTTAAATTTTAGATTTGTTTTTGTGATATTTTGAGGTTTTTGAACATTAACAAGATTGAAACTCAAAATTAAATTTTTAGTTAAGCAAGACATAATCCCTATATATAATTTGCACTTCCATTTGATGCATACATGAACACGGTGTATTGTCTTGATTTCTCGTGAAGCTCCAAATTTTTTCCATTTAAAATTATACTACTAACTCATGACCTTTTCAGTAATTTACATATGCAAACATACTTTTACTAGTACATATCCATCATAATTAATTTTTTTCAAAAATTATTTCCCAATTAAACAATCCAAACAAAAAGGGGTCACAACAAAATCAAGTCTTCTGTCCATAAATTAATTCTCAAATCAATTTTACTCATGCTAACATCATAAACCAAACACCCTCTCCCATGTTGAACCTAATGAAAGACCCCCAATACCCACCTGGGAACCAAAAAACCAACCAATCTCATCCAAAATCACCTCGTTCGCACCTTAAACTAAAACTTTGATATTGACCCTCCCAAAAGCCAAACCAAACTGGTTCTACAATCAATAAGATAAATTTGGTAGGCCAGACGAATCAAGCCACCAACCCCTAGTCACAATTTCGACTATCTAAATTCCAAATTCAAAGAATCAGCAATATAGATCCATGATGACGCCCAAGGGCAACTCCCAATAACGAGTTTCCAAGGCCATCACAATGTCCGATCCTCAACCCATCACAATGGTCAAACCATAAACCAACACAGAAATTACCATAAACCATACACACAGACCAACAATTCCAATATCACAGTTCCACAGTATTCTAGAAGATAGATCACCAAATCAGTAAACGATTATCCATAGGTTCCACACAATGCAATAGAAACATGATCCTCTGAACAGAGGCAAAGAAGTTAGCTATTTTGATTGTGTGCTCTCAAGCATTATACACTAAATATAAATAATACCATTCTTTTGAGAATGATCAAACATCATGCTTTAGCATCTGGTGTTAGGGAATGCAAATTTATTTTAGATCATCTCAGGCATAATTATTATCATTTTCAAATAGACCTAAGATGGACAAAATGAACCTCACCTTCAGTATAGGCACCACATTGGATGATTTGAACAGGTAGCTCAAAACCATATTCTCCAATCATATCCAGTGTTCGTTGTCCACCAATAAGCTCCCCGAAGACCACATATGAACTGCACAAGATCCCAAACAGGATCAGTGAATGCACTTCTTCAAATGCAATGTTTGCACACCAGGCAATGCATATTCCCCCCCCAGCTGGTCATGAGAAGGAAAAGATAAGCATAAACAGTGATAAATATCTCCAATAATTAACTACATAAACAAACCTGTCAAGGGATGGATCAGCTTTCAATGTGATCACAAATAGAGAACCAAATTTTTTGCAATCATCTTTTGACATTGACAAAAGACCTGCTTTAGAATGCTCAAGAGTAGGTGACTCATCTGAAAGAAACCACGAGAACAATAGAGAACCTCCATTCATCAAAATAAATAGACATATATGTAATGCTTTTCAAAAGCATGGTCCAGGATCCAGCATTCTCACCTGGGAATTTGAACCATATATGC